ACATTAATCTTTTGAGATGTTTTAGTGGAAAATATTTGGGCTATAAAACTATTTTAAAGGGTTTTAAGTTAGTCTCGGGCCTTCGTGTAAACGTACTAATAGTAGCATTATTGAAGTCAATGTCGCTTTGAGCTTAATGGCAATGAAATATGACTTGCATCGTTGTAAGTAAGAAACTCTTTATTCTAAGTATCTTGGCCTTCCGGTTGGTTCTAGTATGTGGATCTATATACTTGCAGACATGAAAATTTCAACAATTTGTTGATTTAATTTTGATGTTGACATCGCTCATAAGAGAAGTCTTCATCAATCTTGTTTTTCAAGGCTTGGTGGCTCAGATGATATCATGTGATATGTTGATTAAGTGATAGTGCTTGATATATTTCTCACTACTAAAAAATTCGCTTTTAGTAATTGGAAATTTTCTGTCACCATAGCCACTGAATCAGCCTCGAAATTGAACATCATGTGAATAAAATTTTAAAGGTCACTAAATCGGTCACTAAATAAAATTAGCCTCCGAATTAGTGACTGAAATTTTGTGACCATTATTTTCAGTCTCAAATAAACGTTTGTATAAAATATTAATTTATAAGAAACTTTAGTGACCGAAATTTCGGCCACTAATAATACCTCCCCTAATTTTTTTTTAAATATTTTAATTCCTTTTCTATTTTTATTTTTTTAGTGGAAGTTTCATATATTTTTTTTATTATTTAAACAAATAAAACATATATTGGGATAAACAATTCATCCATACAAATTTATTCATTTAAATTTTTTTTAATGATAATTAGTTTAATAAATTTTTTAAATAATACTTAAAATTTTAATTTCATTTATAAGATATATAATCTTACAGAAAAATATACATCTAAAATGGAATAGCCTAGTGGGCACGCACAACCTTCCCAAACATAAGTGCATTGGTTTGATTCTTGAAGGTGGCAAAACTTTTGTTTTATTTTAATTTTCTTAATTAATTGAAAATTAGTAGTCACTTTATTGGTCGCTAAACGTTATAGTGACCAATTTTTAAGTTTTTTCGGTCTCTAATTCAGTCACTAAACGCGAAGTTTTTAGTAGTGTCTCAAATGATGGTGTTTAACATGTTAATTCAAATGATGGTGCTTGAAGATTAATTAAGTGATGATGATTGATACGTTGATCAAGTGATGGTGCTTGACATGTTGATTCAAGTGATGATGCTTGAAGATTAATCAATTGATGGTGCTTGATGTGACCAAGTGATGGTGCTTGGTTCTTGGATCTTAAAGCTCAATATATGTTGCTCATATGAAGTCTAGAGATCATCTAATGCAGTGATCAAATGGATGTGCTTAATATCGAGTAGAGAAGATTTAGTTGTAGTGATCATTAAATATCTTGTTGTGTTAACCAAATTCTGTATATCAAGTGTTGTTAATCAATTTGTGTTTATCAAATAATTGAAGATCAAGTTATCAATGGATATTAATGGATACTATTTAGCCAAATCCCGTGTCAAGCGATCTAGTAAAATGAACTTTTTACGAGTTCATGTCGTTCCTTCTTGAGGGGGAGTTTTTCACAAGTTGTCTTGAGGTTTGAGGTAGTACACTTGATAAAGGTTGAAAAAACATAAAACTCTTATTAACCTTATAAAAATTGGTCTATTAAATTCCTAGTCATTAAAAATAATGTTACTAACGTTTCGATTGATATCAAAGTGTTTTCTAATCAAAGGGGTGTAATCTTAAAGGAAGAAGGTTCCAAAAGCAGAATGTCGGGGCCCAATATCAATCTAAGGCCCAAATGATGCGTAAAAAATACAAAACCAACTTGAATAGTTGATTAAATTTAAGTCTTATTCAATTAGAGCCAATTTGAAATTCAAAAAATTTAAACTTGCATGCCTCATAGTCAGTTAGACCTAGTGAGTAATTGATTATTGCATTGATCATAATGCACCACCTGCAATCAAATCATGAAGGAATCTCTGAATTAATTCTCTAATCGATTATCTGGGAAAGATAATTGATTAGAGGCAGAAAATATAAATGTGTATCCCCTTTTACTTACAAATTTTCTTCTTCTTTGTTCTTATGTGTGCCTTTTTTCCTCTTGAAATCATCAGCGTCGTTAATGGTTCCCAAAAGAATGTAAACTTTTGGTAGGTCTTCAAATGTCGGGTACTCTTCAGAAATATTTTCATCTCAACATTAAGAGATCTGGTTCAATCGAGAATTTTCATAAAGGAGCATTCTCGACTCTTGTTACATGATAGAAACATTTTTCAACGATTGTGATTTCCTAAAGTGGTTTCAAGATGCACCCCTAATGAGCTTCATCTATGATTTTCCATAAGAGATGTATTCAACTCTAATGAAGGTATCATCACAATCAAACTAAAAAAGCACCAAATCAAGATGACCTTTCAAGAATTTTTCGAGATCTGCAATCTCCATTGCTCAGAACCAGAAACAAAAGGTATCAAATATTTTCATTTATATGTTGCTAATTCCTTCCTTCTTGATCCAAATTAGTATTTCTACCCCATTGAACGCGAATGGGGCATTCCCTAATATTCATCTCATGCAGTATGTGGTCTCACACATCCTTGCTCCAAAGAAACATATCTTAGGGCAACTATTTAGAGTCAAGGTTGCTGCAGTCAGGAAAATTTCCAAAAGAGTGAAAAATAATTAGGCAAGCATTGTAATTGCTCACATGGTTGACAATAAGGCAAAGGATATGTCATTACCATATAGTGGGTTGGATATAATTTTTTTTTGAACTCGTTAACTTTATCTTTAGGTGAGGAAGCTAACCAAAAATACATTGGGATAGGAGGTGACACACTGAATCAAACGGGAATAGACATCAAAGTATGAGTGTTATTCTACAGAACTAAAGACAAAGCAAAATAAAGCTCCTCTAGTGAACCAACTCTTCCTCAATAATGAGAAGCATCTTTGTTGGAGGAATTTGACTTTGAAATTCCATAAACAACTCCAACCAAAGCTTTCCTGAACAAAATTATTAAAAGGCAAAAAAGGGATAATAAGAAGATGAATGCTCTGGTCCAGATGCTCAATGAACTTTGATCTCACAAGACTTATGGGGGTGTTCACCGACGATGATGTTAATTCGAAATATTTTTCTTAGTTGTTCTTATGTCCTCCTTCTGTTTTGTTTTTAATTCACAACTATTTCCCTCTTCGTACTTTGAATAAAAGCTAATTATTGAATGAAAAAGGAAAAAAAAAGAATTGGGGACATATAACCTAGCCCATAAAAAAGCTATAAAAAAATAATAGTTGGACATGCCTAACTTATTCGTCATAAAACTCTCAAAAGAAAAAATAGGAAGTGAATTTCACCAAATGTCATAATCAACCAAAAAAACTCGTATAGACTAATCTATCTGCGTATCTATTTTTCTCTATGAAAATGTCAGATATTTTAAATCCAAAAGACCTTATAGTGTGTAAAGCATTTTCCCATTTAATGAAAAGATGTCAAGGGACAATATTCACATTAGAAAATGCATGAATGACCAATATATAGTCCATTTTAAGCCAACGAATGGCTTAACATGTGACATGTAGGGGTGCCAAATGAATTTTGTCTAATAAGGATTAATGCAATCCCTCCTAATACAATCGTATGCATCTTTAAAAGATAGATCATCATTTTTAGACCATGTCCAAATGAGCTTATCAACAGTAGTATTTTCAAATGACAAAACAATTTGAGGAGGAAATATGGATAAGCCATGAGGATTGTTCCAACTAATATATTAGATAACTAAATTGACTTTAACCATTTGCATAAATTGAATATCCACCGACAATATTAGGTGTAAATATTTAATTTTATATCATAATCAATCATCCGTCCATAAATCAATTTTGTTCCTATTACCAACATGCCATCTAGTATGTCTCTCTAAAAAAAAAATTGAATGCTTAATGTCAGGCCATATTGAACAAGAAATATGACGCATGATTGATTTTTTTTTTATATATATTTGGAGTATATACTAATAAACATAGAAGACCATTAACCAAATTCATCACTACATTAACCACAAAAGTATATGTTATTGACCACTTATTTTACTTAAAATTTTATTGATCAATTTTATTATTTAGTAATCAATAAAATACATAACACAAACCACTTTCAACATAAATTGTGAAATGTATTAACCAACTTTTTATATTCTATTACCTACTTCATTTTACTACATAAGACTATATTTATATTTGAGCACTCATTAAATAAATTATAAAGTGTATTAATCAAATGTATACACATCATTAACCAAAATTTATTTACCATATAATTTTTTTTTGATGTCTAAACATTCATTAACAAAGTTATGAACAATATTAATCAACTTTACATATTATTAACCAACATTTATTTATAACATAAAACTTTATTTTTTTAATGTCAAATCATCAAATAACTAAACTATAAACTATATTAACCTTGCATTTTACACTCAACTAAGTAACTTTTCTTTATTATTTAAGATTACATTTTTTAAATAATATTTTTTAAAAAATATTTGAAAAAATATTATTCAGTGTATAAATTTAGTGAACGTGTAAGTATGCAAGTATTTAATGTGCAAAGGTATGTGTCAAAATAACAATGCTGATTATGCAAACAACAACAAAATTAATATTATATTAGTTGATAATTTAATATACAATAGACTTAGCTAATATCGTTTCTCTCTTCCTTAGCCTTTTTTTCCATCCACCATGTACGTGAGGTCATTTTTTAATAATTTAAATAAATATAAAAAATGACTTAAAATCAATAATATAAATTTTCATGAATAAAAAAAGTTGCTGGAAAAACAGTCTCAGCAAAGACTAGTGGTGTCTAGAAGTACCCATCTACAGAATCTGCTGGCTGACCCCCCTTATATATAGATATATAAGTTTATGCATCAAAAGTTAGATGAACCATACTTAGAACCATCAACATAAACACAACATAAAATGGAAGAGAAAACTTCAACAAAGATATTTATGAGACTTGATGAACATGGTGAAAATAGAGATTCAGAAAACAAAACCTATGAACCCTCATCCCTTCATAATAACACTGTAAGTTTTTCTTAGACTTGAGCATATCTCATGCTTTATAAGTAGAATTGTTTGATGAAATTTTTAGCTTATGGAAAAATTTTATATCATTAATTTTTTTACTCTAAAATAATTATCTTTTCACTTTTCTATAACTTGATTATTTATCATGCAGCCAGGATCTCCACTTTTATTAAGTTTGAGCCTTAATAACACAACACAACTTCCCCATCAAATTCAAGGAAAGCCTCAAATCCAAGTAAGTAATTAATCATATTTTTGAATTAATTAAGATAAACATGTTATTTTTAATTAATTCGAACACAATTATTTATATAAAGTATAATTTTGGGGGTATGATAAATGAATGGCTTAGATTGGGAAGCTTCGAGTAAAGCTCGAGGAAGAAAAGAAAGAGAATGAAAATTTAAAAGCTATGCTAAATCTGGTCAACGAACGATGCATTGTTCTTCAGAATCGATTACTTCTGCATCAATTATCTTCATTGCCTCAAAATAATCACAACTTGCCGGTAAGTTTGACTTCAAATTTGTTTCACATTGCTAAATTGATATATGTATACTTGAAAATTTTGTACTAAAAAATATGCTTCAAAGTTTCGAGCACATTTTATATTTACCTATAAAAGAATGTCATGAAATAAAGAGAAAAAATATATAATTTTACTAAATTCTTTTTTATCTATTAATATATTTTAATTTCATTTTAAATAAAAATTAAAAGTGATGCATATATTAAATAAAGGTATGAAAAATAAGAAATAAAAAAATTATTTTAAAATAAACAATATTTAAAATGTAACATTTATTTTAGAACAAAGGTTGTATATTTTTCTATAAATTTTGATAAAATATTTATATATTAATCATTATAACTATTTTTGGCTTCCTCGCCACATAAGTATTTTATTTTAATTATTTATAAGTTAAAATTTGTATTTTTATTATTTTTAATTATTTTACTTTTATTTATATTGTTTAAAAAAATTAAAATATTATTGTTATAAATATTAACAATTATTTAATAGTATGTATCTATAAATAAATATCTTTGTCAAAATTCAATCTGAGGTGAATTATTTACACTTATTTAACTTAACATACACGTATCAATTAACACATATAAGTTGAATTAATTTGATAAATTAAAGTATTTATCATTCAATATGAAAACGATATCGTGTAGTGAAACTAGTCAACTCCTCTAATTTTTTTAATACTTATACTTAGAATCAATTAATTATATTCAGATCTACCTACTAAGAGTTAAACAATATTTAATGCTAATAATAAAAAAGTAATGGATTATTTTTTATTGTTTATGTATCTATAACATGACGTATATGCTCTATTGTTGTCGATCATCGATAGGTTGGATGATTATCCCATTTGAATAATTAAACTTTAATTTTAATTAAGCATAATTTAACCCTTGCAAATTTCTGTTTGTAAATAATCAGAAGGGAACTATACAAGATTGCCAGAAAGCAGTGTTTTCTACTAGGCAGTTGTTGAATATTGATGAGGCTTCACCTTCAGATTGTAGCAAAAGAGAAGGATTTGCTTCATTGGAAAACAATGAGAATATTAATATTGGAAGAAACTTTGCATATGAGTGTGTTAATAATATTCATGAAGGTGAAATAATTAGCAAAAAAGAGGACCAAGTTTTTGAGGTTGAATGCAGGAGAGCTAGAGTGTCTATAAGGGCACGATCAGATTTTTCTTTGGTAAGGAAAAGATGTATCTCATTTTTTTGTTAATAAGTACAAAAATATATTGATAAGTTATTATTTATTATTGATGAATATTATTTTTAAGTATTAATGTTGTAATATTTAGATGGTGGATGGGTGTCAATGGAGAAAATATGGACAAAAGACAGCCAAGGGCAACCCTTGTCCTCGAGCTTACTATAGATGCAGTATGGGAACTTCATGCCCAGTTCGTAAGCAGGTAAGAATTTATTCATATTTGGATTTTGGCCATTCCTTCACAATTTGTGTCTTGCCATAAAAAATAAATTCTCTTAAAAAAGATGTTCATTAAGGAGTATTAAATTTTTAAGAGATTCAATCCATCAGATTCAGGGCTTTTGTCCCTGGTTGCATACCATACCACCTCATTCACCTCTTCTTCAAAAAAAATAACCTCTAGGAAAGACATTTCTTTTGATCTAAGACAAACATTTTCAAGTTTTACTCATTAAAAAAGGTCTTAAAATGATGGTTAATCTCCCACTTCACTTTATCAACTTCTTCAGTTCTCTGTGAACATGTAATCATTCCGACTATTTTAGTGTATTTTATATTAGAGAACAAGGACATCTCTTCTTCCTCCAATCAAACACATGGACACCTCTCATGTCATCAAACACCAAATTTAAACCTAGTCGATGATTTCACTTATGAACTATTAAAACTTAATTTAATCTTTTCAACCACTTAGGGTATGTTTGAGAGTTGGTTTTTAGAGTGTTTTCGAGAATCGTCTATATTTTAAAATGTGTTTGATATTTTTAAAAAGTTAAAACAAAAAAAACAATATACTATATTATCATGTAAAATCACATTCTTTTAAAAAATTAAAAAATATTAAATATATTTCAAAATATAAACGTAATCTTATAAAACTTTCATCACACAAATTGTTTTTATGTTTGAGATTTTCACATTAATTTGGAAGAATGAATAGAGATCTAGTTTCTAGAGCTCTAAGAATTGCATAAATTAATTAACTTTCCTTGAGATAATTTGGAATGTTTTATTCTAACCGTTTGAAAAATAATTAACAAACATTTTTAAAACAAAAATGTTTAAATAATTATTTTTTATTTAAGTCAAAATAATCATTGTGATTTTTTTTTAAAGTTTAAATAGTCATGGGATCCTTATAAATTAATAAGTTTTGGAATTTAATTCTTTTTTTTCTTTTCGCATTAGTCTATTCAACAAATGGTGCAAACGTGAGAAATTTATGAACACTAATACAAAATTCTAATTTATTGAAAGTAAATGCAAAAGAAAATTATGAACACTATTATATTTTTGGTGAAAAATTTATGAATTTTCACATATGTATGTTATTAAATAAAAAACACACGTAACACAATTTTAGATAATCACTATGTATCCAGTCAAGTCGGCTTTTTTTTTAATAAAAATCTAACTCTAAAGACTAACGCCAATTTAAAAATGAGATATAAGGATTGAGACAATATTTTAAATTCAAAAATTCGTTAATTTAAATACTGCAAATGACTATTTAAACCTGATTTTTATTAAAAACCTCAATTTTTTTAGAAACTCCCATGTTTAACTTCTCAATGAAAATATATTGTTATATTATTTATATAATAAAAAAACAAAAGATATTGAAATATTTTTTTATAAGCATTATATATATATATATATATATATATATATATATATATATATATATATATATATATATATATATATATATATATATATATATATATATATATATATATATATATATATATATATATATATATATATATATATAAAAGAATAATTCATAATTTTCATTGTAATTAACAGGTGCAAAGGTGTTTCAAAGATGAAACTGTTTTCATCACAACCTATGAAGGAAACCACAATCATCAGCTTCCACCATCAGCAAAACCAATTGCAAACCTAACATCATCAGCCCTCAACACATTCCTATCAAACTCAACAACAAATTTCCAATATGGAAACAATATATCCAACACATTCCTCTTCTCTTCACCATTATCTCCACCAAACTCAAATGCTATAGCTACTTTCTCTCCCTCTCCAACATGTCCTACAATAACACTTGATTTCACACTCCCTCCAAGTAACTATTTGCAATTCAAAAACCATAAACAATCTTCATTGTTTTCTTTTCCATTTCAAGGTTATAATAATTACCCTCAACCATTTGAGGTGTTCCCTAGTATGATAGATGCCGAGAGAAAACTTGCTTTGGTTGATCTTGTCAGTGAAGCTATAGCAAAAGATCCTTCTCTTAAAGCAACATTGTTTGCTGCCATGTCTTCATTCACAAATGGTGATCCTTTAAATATCAATAACCACAGCCAACCTAGTAAGAGTGGTTAGAACTCTTGTTCTAGCCTTACACTATTCATTATATATATATATATATATATATATATATATATATATATATATATATATATATATATATATATATATATATATATATATATATATATATATATATATATATATATATATATATATATATATATATATATATATATATATATATATATATATATATATATATATATATATATATATATATATATATATATATATATATATATATATATATATATATATATATATATATATATATATATATATATATATATATATATATATATATATATATATATATATATATATATATATATATATATATATATATATATATATATATATATATATATATATTTCTTGCTTGTCTATTAGTGGAGGAGTTGAATATATTGTATATAGATACATGGATGTATATTAATACAAGTTTTATGAGAAGTTTACATTGTTTTTACCTAAGGGAAAACATTAATAATAGCGATACAGTATATTATCAAAGTATTTGGTTCTTGGTCATGTAACTATTATATGTCTCATATGTATTATACTGTGTTGGCTGTAGGGAAATTTGATCCATGCAACCTAGACGAAATTTGATTTAAATAATTATAAAAATAATATTTAATTAAAAATATAATTAAACTTTTAAATGAATATTTTTTTATGTTTTTACATATATAACTATAACTTTTATTATTAATGTTAATTTTGTTGTATAAACAATTAAATTTTTTTTTTCAAAAAATGTATATATAGAATTTGATTGATTTCTTTAAAATAAAATCAAAATTATACATCATTATTATAGTTTATCTTATATATTTAATGCTCTAGACTTCAAGCATTTTAAAATGGCCAAACAACTGAAAATAATGTAAAAAAAAGCTGCTAAATATACACTAACAAGATATGAACTCAAGTATACTAACTTATCTAGCACCAACTTATACAGCATAGCAACATGATTTACTTGTAAATGTTATGAAACTTTTATTAATTATATACATTTTGAGGTCTCATTTTCCAGTACTTGAAGTCTATTTTAAAGACTAAAAACTTTAAAGCCTAAGGTGATAACTTCGCCCGCTTTGGGCTTTCGGGCGACTTGAGTAGAAGAGATAAAACTCATGTTTTTATTAAGGTATTGGTATTCAAAATAAAGAACAATTGAAAGTATCTTAATATTATTGATGATAGGGGAAATCAGAATTCAATGGGGACTAATATATATGAAATAACATACTAAAGACTAAACAGAAAAAATCAACTACAACCGATTGTTTCAAAGTAAACTATCACTTCCATTTGATTTATGAAAAAAGAAAAAACATAATTTATTTTTAAAAAAAAGAACTAGATTCAAAGTATATATATAGAATTTGATTGATATCTTTTTATTGTGAATCAGATACTTTAAAACAAAGTATAAATTAGTTTCTTAATGATCAAGAAACACATAAGGGTTAGGGTTAATAAAGAAGAAAACAACAAGGATTGGTTATTAAACTGTTATTCTTTCCTTTCTCTTAGAACAAGATTACAAGTATATAAGAATAACAATAACCTATCTCTCTTGAAATTAGAATTTTATCTTCCTATTTTTCCTTATGTCAAGATTGAGAAACTAGTATCTTGTTTATAAGAAAAATAACACACTAACCTAATGGACTTTTTAACAATTACTTATTACAAGCTAACTTAGGGTACAAGCTAACTTAAACAATTGGGCTTGCAAGCAAGGCCCAATTTAACATGCTAACAACCCTAGCAATATTGACTAATGCATGTTAGAACAAACTTCGACTACAACACACATTACTCGCGAACAGACTTCGATCATACTAGAGTTCGATCCAACATCTCACAAATCTCCACCATGGATCTAACTCTATAACATCAAGAAACTAGCTTTCTTCATGCAGCTTTATTAACTGCATACAGTGGAAAAACATGCAACTGGGCAACGTCTTGGTGATCATATCAGCAGCATTATGATATGTCGAAACCTTCTGCACTTGGACTTCTCCATGCTCGATTACCCCTATGATGAAATGCAGCCTCACATTTATGTGCTTGGTTCACTCATGATATGGTAAATTCTTCGACAGATGTATTGCACTTTGACTATCACATTTAACAGTGATAACTCGACCTTGAAGTTTTAGCTCTTTTGCAAAACCTTCAAGCCACAATGCATCCTTCACAACTTCAGTTAGGGCAATATACTCCGCTTCAGTGGTTGATAAGGCAACGACCTTCTGAAGTGTTGTTTTCCAACTAATTGTTGTCCCAAACATAGTGAACACATATCCAGAGATAGATTTTCTAGAATTCATACAACCTGCATAATCAGAGTCGACATATCCTTCGATTACTGCTTTACTATCTTCACCCAAGGCTCCACCATAAATTAGGAATCTATTTAAAGACCCATTTATGTACCTTAAAAATCCACTTCAATGCTTGCCAGTGAGCCTTTCTTGGATTCGCCATATACCTGCTTACAAGACTTACTGCATATGTTATGTCGGGTCTAGTACAGACCATAGCATATATCAAAGAACCTACTATGTTAGCATATGGAATGTTATTCTTATAAGTTCTTTCAACATCAGTGTTGGGACACTAATCTATACTCGCTTGAATTGAGGGTTTGTCGGAGTCACAACAGGCTTTGAATTCGACATACCAAACTTTTCGAGAACCTTCTGTAAGTATGCCTCTTAAGATAAGTATAACTTTGACTGCTTTCTATCTCTTCGGATGTCAATCCCAAGAATCCTGGACGCAGCTCCCAGATCCTTCATGTCGAACCCTTTATTGAGTTCAGCCTTCACCCTCATTACCTCTTCGACATTGTTGCTTGCTATTAGAATATCATCCATATAGAGCAACAAAATAACAAATGAATTACCCGGTCGAAATCTGAAGTAAACACAGTGGTTGAACTGACTTCTGATGAAACTTATGTGTGCCATGAACTTGTCTAATCTCTTATCCCACTGTCGAGGAGATTGTTTCAGTCCATATAAAGATCTATTTAGTTTGCACACACAATCTTCCTTCCCCCTTTCGACATACCCTTCAGGTTGACTCATCAGGATTATTTCATCTAGATCACCATACAAGAACGTAGTCTTCACATCCATCTGTTCCAGTTCAAGGTCGAACTAGGCCACCATGGCAAGCAACATTCGAATGGATCTGTGCTTTACAACAGGAGAGAACACATCATTGAAGTCGATACCTTCTTTCTGAGTGAACCCCCTAGCAACTAATCTTGCCTTGTATCTCTTCGACGCCACTCCTTCGATTCCTTCCTTAACTTTGAAAACCCATTTATGACTGACTAACCTGGCTCCAACAGGTTTCTTGATTAGTTCCCAGGTGTTGTTATCATAAAGATATTTCATCTCATCATCCATGGTCTTCATCCATTCAGTCTTCTTTCGACTCCTCATAACTTCCTTATAGTTTCTAGGTTCTTCATCTAGAACCTCACTAGCAGAGATTAAGACATAAGCTATAAGATCTGCATACCCAAGTATCTGAGGTGGCTTGATGACACTCCTTGACCAGTCTCTTGCTAGAAGGTAATCATTATCAGTCTCCTCATCTTCGACAACATCTTCTGCGTCTTCTTTGACTTCATCTGGAGTAAGCAATTCAGCATCAACATGCTCCACCTCAACAGGAATCTCTCCCCGTTCCAGCTCTTCGTCAGCATCATCAGTTTTCTTGAAAGCCATCTCTGCTTCATTGAAAACTACATCTCGACTGGTGACACACCTCTTGTGACCTGGCTCTAGGCACCACAGCCTATAAGCTTTGACTCCTTCAGGGTATCCCAAGAACATGCATTTCAGAGCTCTAGGTTTGACCTTGTCTTGCCTAATGTGAGCATAGGCCACACATCCAAATACTCTCAGTCTGTCGAGACTAGGTGGATGTCCCGACCGAACTTTTTCAGGTGTCTTCATTCCCAAGGCAGTCGAAGGACATCTATTTATCAGGTAAGTGTCGCAATTGCGAAAAACACCCGGTGGAAAACAGAAGAGTCGTCACCTTTCGTTATTTATCCCAAAGAGAGGGAAAGGAAACAATCGGAAAAACCTGACGAAAAAGGGAAAGGCAAGGTCATCGCAACCAAGTCCTGGATTTGGGAGTCGGTTACGCAAGGGGAAGGTATTAACACCCCTCATGTCCGTCGTACTCGACGGGATCCATGCTTGTTGTCTATCTAAGGGTGTGTTTAAATTATCTACGCTACGGGCTAAGGGACAAAAGAAAAAGAAAAGAGACTCGACAGAGCATTGCAGCTCTGTGCCTATGTATTCCCTCGTGCAATGGGAAAGTCAGAGTCAACGTAGTTCGGCTAACTATGGGAGAAAGGGGGAAAGTTGCTCGCCAGGACATCGCGTCTTGTGCCTATGTACTTTCATCTGGTATGAAAGATTAGAGCAAACGTAGTTCGGCAGACACGAAACCACAGGTTGATTAAGTGTTTTAATCGAGTAGGGTTAAACCTCCATTCCAGCAGTTAGGGACAAAGACTGTTTGTGGTAGAGCTGAAGCTTAACAACACTCTTTTCTGAAAAAGGTTTCCGATTAGTCCCGAAGGAAAAAGGTTTGCATTTTGTTTTGTGTTTTTTAGGGAAGTGAATTAATTCGGTTTGTGATTAACGTTGCACTAAAGACTATGACATGGAGGCAAATGCGTCGTGTATCGCCCCCAAACGGGACATACACTAAACACTAGACGAGCGAGAGGAGACCCCTAACTCATCATTCCCCATGTAGCTTAAGGCTCATAGTGCGCAACGTTTATCGCCTTTATTAGATGAGTTAAAATTGTTTGAAGATGAGAAGAGGGACGCACAGAAGGTCTAAGGGAAACTCATCCCTAACATTGTCATTCAAGGTGGTCCTAAGGTTTGGATTAGAAAAGGGGGAACACCTACCCTAATGTTAGCATGCTTGGATTGAACACCTAATGT